AATTGGGGTCGCGCTGCTTCGAAACAAGGGAGGGAGACGCTGACGAAGCAAATGATCCGAACCGTCAGAGTGAAGAGAGAGAGAAAGAGGGAGAGAGATAGATAGATAGATAGAGAGAGAGAGAGAGAGAGACAGAGAGAGAGAGAGAGTCAAAGGGAGGGAGACGTTGAGCGTAGAACCTCTACTGAGACTGTCAACTCAGAGCGAGCTTTGTCTAACCTGATCGAGGAGTTGTTCCCACGCCTACGTGACGTTTTCTTGCGCCTACTGCAATGACGAGAAAATAAGAGGAAGCGATCTGAGCGGTGCATGCATGCGCAACAGAGGTGCTCAGATTGCTGGACGTCAGCTTTGACTCTCACGCGTGGGAAGTGAGGTAGCGCGGACACGAGTGCGGATCAAGGGAGAACCTGAGGGGACGACAAAATTGGGGTCGCGCTGCTTCGAAACAAGGGAGAGAGACGCTGACGAAGCAAATGATCCGAACCGTCAGAGTGAAGAGAGAGAGAGAAAGAGGGAGATAGATAGATAGATAAATAGAGAGAGAGAGAGAGACAGAGAGAGAGAGACAGAGAGAGAGAGAGAGTCAAAAGGAGGGAGACGTTGAGCGTAGAACCTCTACTGAGACTGTCAACTCAGAGCGAGCTTTGTCTAACCTGATCGAGGAGGATGTATACTGGTGTATAGGAGAGAAACGGGACGGTGAGAAGGGAAAACAAGATTGGTAAGGGCGTTAATATCAACTTTGCGCAATTGGAACGACATTAAAAGACTGTCTCAGAGGGTCTTACCGACTTCCGTTCCTGGAACAAGAGTTGTTGTGAGTTAACTTGAATGCACGTGAGGGGAATGACACGAGCGTGAGCATACTGTGGGGATCAGGCTCTACCAAGCTCGTGCGGTGTAAATAGCCAACACGGAGGCCAGTAAAGTGTCTGTCGCCCGAAGACGGGCTCAGGGTCTGATAACATTGTTGATCAGACGAAGTGTCCATTCTGCTGAGTACCAGACAGATGGGGTAAGAAGAAGGGATTCGTTAAGACGACCGACCTGATCTGCTGCAGTTTGTGATAGGCGTCAACTAACTGTTATTCAAGGCTTGAGAACTTGAGAATGACTCAGACGGCCAAATTCAGAGTTAGTGTCTGCTCAAGCCTATTATTGAGCAGTGAACGGTAGGTGCCTATATCAAAATCGCAACGTCTTTGAGAGACCGTGCAGTATTGGTTGTTCTTAGGATAGCCCTAAACAAATTGAGCTCGTTTGACACTTAGTAAAACATTCAACGTCGATGCAGAAACGTGAATGTTGTCATCATATGATCCATCAACCACTTCGCCCTATATTGTATGCGCTGAGTCTGAGCTCAGAGCCTTTCCTCAACACATGAAAAGGGTGAAAAGGAGTGCCTAACGTTTAAGAAATTTGGCAATTATTGGACGATCGGAGTGACTTTTATGACCCTGACTAGGAGAATAGCCTTCAACTCTGGGTGCATAGCTCACTGAGTTCATCTGCAATCCATTCGTTTTCATCACTTAGATTCGGAGAGGTTTGAGAGAAAACATGAAAAGAGATGAGGTCTTTGTGTTAAAACACAGGGTTAACAAAGAGAAGAAAAAAAGATGGGAAGAAGAAGCGAGTAAAGACATGGAAAAACACAGATTAACTCAGAGAGAGTTTGCAGTTAGAAATGCGGGGGAAGGAAAGCACATTGAGTATGTAATTTACTTTTATGGACACGACAACAAATTGCACAGTATCAGTTTCTTAATGAAGACTGTGGAATAAGCCAGAATAGAGCTCGCACGAACTCAGTAGTGCATGAATCTCCCTCCCAAAAGCCCTACCAACGTCTGAGCAGCAAACACCCTTCAGTGCCTTTTTGTTGTTCCATCTAGCAGTACTGGTGAATCGACTGTTGGGTGGTTTAAAATACCAGTGGACTTTCGGGCAATTTTCAGATAACACTCAGACAACGATCAGGCAGTCTTCAGGTAGAGTTCAAGTGACAACTAAGGGTTTGTCCGTCTACTAATATTTGTTGTTCATCAGTAAGCAACAATCAATTCAAATAGTAACTGACATTTATCAGCAAGCAAGAGTAAATTCAAACAGTAGCAGACATTCATCAGCAAGCAACAGTCAATTCAAATAGCAACAAACATTCATCACTCAAAATTCGTTTTTCATTCCTTCTAGCAGGAAGTACCTATCTGATTAAGCCCATGAGAGAAATCAACCCCATTTCAGTCGATCAGTCTGTCCTCGACAGTCTCAATCAGGTCGCCTCAAAAAAAAGTTTTCCATACAGTTATGTTAAAATCGACGGCTTCAAGCGTGAAGATCTGTCAATCTTCGTTGTTCTTACAGAGTTTGCAGGAGGTACAATCAGGGACATGCGGGTATATCTGAGGAAAGGGAATGAGTCACATCCACACTTTGACGCAGTTTGGGTGGCAGCAGCGAGGTTCGTACAATGGAAAGCTGAGAGACTCAAAGGGGAATCAAAACTGGTCTACAGCTTTGGCCCCAAGCTCTTTACAGACTACCCCAAATCTCCGGTTCCTTACTAATTCACTGACGGATCATGTTGGGGTGACCTTGTAGACCTAGCCAAGAGGTACATCTCCCCTGCAGTGGTCGATTACGAAGTAGTGACTGAGCCATCCGAATTCCATCATCTCAGACGAGGTATCTTCTCTCGGCCATATCTTCCTACACTATGGGAGGAGTTTTGTGTCATGGTTGATTTCCGCATCATGGGACTTGGATGGAAATGCTCAGAGCTTGGAGGCTTCAGATGACTCTACATACAGAAGCCACAACCTCAGATAGTATGAAGACATGGCAAGAAGCCCGAACGAAAGATAGCAAAATGAGAAATTGAGTGTGAAGTTCAGAGGGACGAGTGAGGACTCTTGATTGGTGTTGGTCATGCTCTCTTCCATATGTACTTCCTGAGACTATTATGAGTTCTCATTCTTCCCTCATTCATTTGACTTTGTCATTACTCGAGTCAGTCGGTCTTGCTTCCTGCATTATTTTTGCTTGATGATTGCTCTCGTGGATGATTATGTCACAGTTATCAAAATCAGATTGACATAATTGATGCATGCACAACACTCTGCAATTTTTATGATTATGATTCGCATGATTCTCTGCTGTTCCGAATCAAAATAAAAGATTCCTAAGACCGAGGACCGGCGAAGACCGCAATTGAAGGGTCTCGCTCGAAGTCGTACGCACACAACAGGAAGGGATTTGCATTATTTGATTTATTTTATTTATTGAAATCAACAACAAAATCTTGCATGACAGCCTGTTGGCATTCCGGTCGCCTGAAGTGGACCGACTGGAAAAAGTGCGACAACGTGCAACTTCGGGATTGGACGAGCTTCTTGTCTGGTTGTCGTCCGCGATGTTACTGCCGCGCTGCTGAGGGTGTTTAGAGGGAAGATCGTGTGGCCAACTGGAGTTCGTAAACTCGTGGTTCTGTGGGTGTTCGCTGATAAAGGGTTCTCCAACTGCCACGGTTGCATGGACTGTACTCACATCTACGTGGACAAGCCGGCGAATGCTCCGAGCGAAAACTACTACGACGGGAAGGGTCGTTTCTCCATCGTCACACAGGTTGTCGTCAACCTGGACTTGCGTGTGCTCAACATGCACATGGTATGCCGAGGTAGCTGCCACGACATCAGGGTGTTGCAGTTGTCCAGACTATCGCAGCGAGCAGAAGAGGGGTCATTGTTCCATGGTCCCCCCGTGACACTGCCGTTCGGTGTGAAGACGAATGGGTATGTCCTGGCGGACAATGGCTACCCCCCTTCGGAATGGATAGTCGTCCCGTATGGAGGCATCAATCAGCACGTCGACGAGGAGCGGTTTGACAACAAGCAGAAAGTGGCGAGGGGAGCGGTGGGGAGGGAGTTCGGCAGGCTGAAGGGCATGTGGCGGCTGTTTCTGCGGACACACAAAACAAACATGGACACGCTCCCACAGCAGTTCAAGTTCACCGTCGTCTGTATACTGCACAACATACTAATCGACGCAGGAATCCCCTTCGACGAGAATCTGCTATGGGAGGTCGATGCTAATGGTGTGCGACGCCGTGTGGACCTGGAGATGGAAGAGCCCCTTCAGCCTGTGTCGATGATGACATCGACGAGGGAAGCGTTGGCCCTGAGGCATGCTTTGGCGGAACGAATGAAACACGATTGAGTCATGTTCCCATGGTGGACGGCAGCGCGTGGAAGTGCATTCGTTGCAGCAATGACCAGAGGGAAGATTCGTTGCTTCGGCCAACCTTGATTGGGTTGCTAGCGTCTGTTTCAGCTAGGGGTTGGTGGTTTGCGTCGAGGGTTGTGGTTCGTCGCCGTCGTGATTCGTGGATCTGCGTCGATGTTGTTCTTGTTTTTATATGATTCGTGTTCACGTCGTGTACTGAGGACACAGTGCACTGCGAGTGTAGAGTGCGCTGTTTTTTGGCACAGCGGGTGTTGTTTAGAAGATAGAGCAGTGTTGGTGATTTGGTTGGGCCTGAAACTTGTCCCCCACCTGCCTTCCATTTTTTTGAATTTGCGTAATGAATTGTTGAACGATTTCGTAATTCCCGAAGTTTTTTTTCGATTTGCAGTATGTGTTGTCATTATGTGTGTTGCTATTTCATTGCGTTGTTGTTCACAAATGTTTTGTCGGACATCGTATGCTGTATCGTATGCTGTATGCTATTGTGCGCTTGGTCTTCCTTTGAGTGTTGAAATCAAACACAAACACGTCTTTTGTTTGGCATTGGGAAAACTGGGAAAGAAAACAAATAAGTAACAAACAAACGAGCGACAATGGTACAAACAAATGAAGATGACATGAGTGAATGTACATCCAACAAGCCGAGGACTAATCATGTTCACAGTATCGCAATGGCACAAACACAAGCCGATGACATGAGCAACAATGGAATGAGTGATCAGTGGCGTTCGCCTTCCCCAATCTCTCCGTCACTGCGTTGGTGGCTCGGATGACGGATCGTCGATGCTCGAAGGAGCGATGCATGGACGCGATGAGCGTGGGCTTCACAAAGTAGAAGGTTTCGTAATGGCTGCGTGGATCGTCTCCCACCATGTGCATCAACCACATGCTGGCCGCCAACAAATGCCTGAAGCAATCTGCAATCCTTGACAAACGGTCTTGTGAGATGAACTCACCGTCAATGCTGGCATCCATTTGCACCGCAACGAGGAATGCATGCGCGATGCATAAAACGGTCGACTCCCGGTGCACCACCATGTCATCGTCCTCCGGCCTGTCCTCGATGTTCGCGCTCGCAAACCACAGTGGCAAGTCCATGTTCAGGTCGATTGTGTGTGCGCAAACGGCCACACTTACGACGTTGATCCACTCCTCGCCGTACCACATGGCACGCGCAATGTCCGTCGCCACTGACTTCAGCACGTACTGGAAAGCGAGATTGTATCCTCGGAACCGCCATGCCTCCCTTCCGCACCCGGTTTAAAAGGGTGTCCTCATCCTCCCTATCACCCTTGTTGTCGCCGCGCGCCACCTTCCGCTGCGCAACTGGGAGTTCCTCTCTCGTTCTCGTCACGGCCGCAACACTACTTTCCCGCCCCTGAGTGTCTGCAGCAACGATCCCCCCTCCACCCGCCATGCGCGCTTCTGGTTGGGCTCCCCCCCCTCCACTTCGTTCCATGAAGCCCCCCTCACCAACCGTGTTGCGAGAACACGGCTGAGAGGGTGTGGAGGGCAGCCCACCCTGAAGTGACATTTCTTTAGTCGAGCCAGGTATCTTGAGTGTCGCCGCCGTGGCGCCTTGTGTAACATTTCGTTGCCGCCGGTTTTCCAACAGTTCGTAGTCCTCACCGCCGACGTTGACGACAACCTCCTTCACCTTCGGGGTTTCATGGCCACGCACTTGCTGCGCCTCCGGAGGGGGCGTCAGCAATCTCCTCGCAGCGCTCTGATCAGACGACCGTTGAAGACAACTTCCCCGAGGTGCCGACACGGTGGCCTCTACTGCTTCTTCCTCCGTTGTGAACACGTCTTCGTCGTCGTCTTCGTCAGGTGTTGCCCAAGTCCGTCCTCGCCGAAGAGACACTCTTCTTGATGCTTCTTCTGAGCGAAGCCTCTTCGCCTTGGGGATATGCCGCCTACCCTTTTCCCGCCCCCGAGTGTCTGCCTGGACGATTTCTCGCTTCTTGCCACGGGCGCCGCCTCGCGCAGACATGGTTCCTGCTTCCCTTTGTGGATCGCTCGCGCGAAGACGCGGAACAAGCGCCTTTGCCACACTGAGGAGCAAAATGTCCAAGTGCGCCGAAGTCGTTGGGCAACACAGGCGAGACAGCTTCGCGGCGAGAAGAAGACAACACAGACGACGGCGAACCGACACGTGGCGAGAGAGATCTGCGGTGACAAAGAGAAAGTGCCCCGCTGATGGTAGTTCCGCTGACGGGCCGCGAACTGCCCCTTGTGAATGGATTGGTGTATCTCAATCGACCGCGTTCACATCGACGATGAAGAACCGCCCTCGACACACACAGTAGCGCAACATAAACGTCCGCGCCGGAAGGACATAAACCCTGCCCACACTCCTCCGCGACGAGAAGAACACAATGCAGAAGGGCGCCGAACCTCCGAAGGGGCGGTATGGATCCGCAGCAAGAAGGAGAGAGCGGTCCGCCTGCAATGAGGTCGGGGTCCACAGCGTGAGGTTTGTCCACGTGTCCACAGACCTCCGCGCGGAGAGCGTGAGCGCTTTACAAGGCGCGAAATGTCGACGTCAGGAGATGGCGAGAAGATCCACGACGATGATCGTCGACGACACTGAAGAAGTCCCAGACGAGGAGGAATGAGAAAAAACAGGCGAGCAGGCGATCGCGGTGCGGCGCAACGAGGACAAAAGTCACAGTGCGTCCCGTGTGGTTGTACTCGGTGTGCAGCATGTGCGGCGCTCTTCAGTGTTGGAGAAGCCGCAAGCGGACAACCTTTATGAGGGAGGGGGTGCATACGCATCGACAAGATGGAGAAGACGGAGGGGGCCCGATGTCGCTTGTTCGCCTTCGTCGTCGTCGACAGCGACATGTGTGACAGCAGCTCTCCAGACCTCCTTCGCTCACCCGCCCTTCATCTGTTGCCATGCCCACCTTCCTCGAGGCGCCAATAGACCCTTCGACGCCTCTGCGGCCGCGTGTCCATGCACTCTCCAGGGGAAGAAATTAAATTATTCAAAAAAACAAAAGTATACCCCCCCAACCCCCATTTCCCCGAACACACCCCCCCTGCGCTCCCCCCCCCCCCCCCCATCGACGACGAACAGTGCCACCCCCGTCCACCACAATCGTCGACCCACATAACCCCTTCAACATGTGGCCCTCTAGCTGTGGAGACCGAAAATCTCGCACATACTACTCTCCTTCATCATGAAGTACAAAAACCAAAAAAAAAAAAATTCGAAGAAAGGTGGTGCTAAGCAAGAAGCGACTACACATACACACACAGGTAGCCATCGTCGCAGGCACAGCGCGTGGAGAGACATGCCACTAAAGCAACAACGGACGTCACAGTTAGCACGAGTCATGATCTCTCGCGGATGACTTTTGCTATCTCCATAAGGGCGTTGCACATCAATCTGTTCGCCTCATCTGCCGCAACATAATTTTTTCTTTGTACTTCCACTTCGCTCTCTAGGATTTCGCACTGACGTAACATCATTGAGCATTGCCGCTTGCTCGCACTGTCCATTGTGTTCGCCATGAGCGCACCATGCTTGTCCATGACGTCGGCGACGACCTCAAAAGTTTGTTGCCGCATGTTCTTCCTCTTCCCATAACCGTCGCCGCTCCCAGCGCTGAATGTGGAGTCTTTCGTCGACCCCTGCTCCTCGTCGGCTGCCTCCCCTCCACCCTCACTGGCCATGATCTCCCCTCCAGCCCCCGCGCCTGCCGCCATCTGACCCCCCCAGCCGCCCCCGTGTCCGCCAAGTTCTTCGGGTGGATCGTATGATCCCTGTTCGTCATGGCCTCCATCTCGTCGTACACACTCCGGTCCATGACGAAGTTGACGCCCTCCAATCGCCTGGCCTTTGAAGCAAGCTTGAAGTAGTCCTTCCCGCCGGAGAGGTTATGGAACTTGTGAACCTTCTTGAATTGCTGCATCAAATTGTCCCATTTCTTCCCGCAGTCGACGCCCTCCCTCGTGATGCCCATCGTCTGCAACCTCGCCCGCACGTCCTCCCTCTTCCACTCCCTCATTTTCATGGGGGCAAAACTGGTGCCCATGCCCGTGATATACAGATCTTGATCCCTTTTTGCCTTGACGAGTGCGATCGTGTCACCCACCGACCAGAAGTTATGGCTGCCCTCGCCATCGCTCCGACCGGTGTCGTCATCCATTTTCTTATTCCGTCGATTTTTCGGAGCGGGACCCCTCTTCGCACTCGCACCGCCATTCGTCACCTTCCTCCCAAGCGGCCTGATGTGTGGCAAATCATCGGAGTTGCAATCGTCGTCGCCGTCAACGTCGTCACAACCCAGGGGCTCATCGAAAGCCGCTTCGTCCACGTGGAGCCGTTGCACCCGTCTCGTGATTGTCTCCGTTCCACCTTTATTCAAAGCCTGCCTACACTCTGCCTGCCGTCACGTTGCACGTCCGCACCTCCCTCACGCGAATCCTTTGGTCACCGTTGTCCTCGAGGGGTCCCGGATCCGCGTCACGACGCAGGTGACAGGCGCATCCACTCCGTACGTTCATCCGCACCATGTCCTCCTCCGACGTTCGTCGACGACACATTTCAATCCCCCCCACCTTTGCGAAGCGATTGAGCTACACCGTCGTACCGCGCCCCGCGCAGACCAACGTGCGTGTTGTCCGCGCAATCCCCATCTGGGTGGGGATTGATGATCCGAGTGTGCGTTGTCGCTGCTCCGCTGTTGCTGGACAACTGGAAGTTGAGATCAACCGCTGCATTGCCGTCATCGTCGCACAGCCCCTCGTTCAACAGTGAGGTGTAAGACCACGGGGTCTCCGCCCACCGGCCAACATACGACTGCGTCGCCACCCATTCCTGCATGGAACCACTTCCCAACGGCAAAGTCGACGACCTGACGTCTTCCCCCTCGTCATCCGACGGTGGCAGGGGAATCTCGTGGGAAGGCAGGTGAGCATACAACCTCGGGTCGTACGGCTGCTTCGCCACAGCCCCCGCAGTGCATTGTCGATTGCTCACTCCGGAGGTTGTGGCTGTCGGTCTGCCGTTGGCCAGTCATTGATCCATCCTGTCGGCTTTCTTCGAAGATCTCCTTCTGCGAGCTGCTACCGGGACGAGGCCGACGAAACACACGTGGAAGAAGACAACGATGAGAAGCAGCACGGTGACGAGGAGCAGCAGAGGCAGCCTGTGCAGCAGGTCGACCATGTAAGGGCCGTTAAAAGGGCAACAAGCCGGCGTCAACGGTCGACCGTCCAATGAACAAGCCCGTCGATAGAAGAAAGATCGGTGGAAGATCTGTGCACCAACGTGCGAGGCGTGACGATAAACGAAGGAAACGACAAACTTCTGCAATCAAACTGTCGTCGTCGAAAGCAGTGGTGGCTGCGAAAAGCATTCGAATTTCGGACCGTTGTCGACGATCGCCCGCCGCAGCGGACCGCAGGGCGCCAGCCGGCAAATCGCGCAGACGGTGACCGTTTGGAGCCGTTGGGGCGCCATGCACATTTCGGAGGCAAGGATGTCCGTGCTCCCGTTCGCTGGACCACGTCTGGACCAACCTCGAACTGAAATTGTGCGTCGACGCCGCTCCGAATTTCGCGCTTCCTTGTGCTCCGAGGGACCTCGGGAGGTCCCTTGGGGGTTAGGAAAAAATGGCTCTGGCCACAAGGAAATTTCCTTGTGGTGTTCTCACATTTTCTAGGACAGGTGGAAAGATCATTTGTCTAACGAGGCCCATAGCATACTACAACACCCATGCCTCTCCCTCCCTTCCTAACGTGACCCCAACATTATGCCCGAACCAATGGGCCGCTCCTCCCCTTCCAAAAAGGTGTAACCCAATAGTCCAACTTTGCGAGATAATCTACGGCTCGCAGCGGTCCCACAGTCACACAGGTAGTAGAAAGCTAAGCTACACGGATGCATGTGGGCCGATACCCCCGGCACAAGAACGCACAGTGCGATTTCGGTACCCTATCTATGCGCTCTTTTTTTTTTTTGGGTACCTATCTGTGCTCATGTGCTTTGTGCACAGTTTTCACGCGCTGTTCCCCAAGTGCAGTCGTTACCACGTCGCCAATCACCGCCGCTGACGGCGGAGTGGCCTGAGGTGGGGGTAAGTGGACCCCCGATATGGAAAGGGCGAAAGGCGGAGGGCTGGCCGCTTCGAGCGGGACCAAAGGCTTCATGGCGAGGGGTGACTATGGGAAGAGCGAACAGCGAAGGCTGCCGATATATTTTTTTTCTGGCGGGAATGTCTGTCGATGCTTTTTCAAGTGTTATGGCGGGAAAAAGGCCTGTAGAATGAGGTTTTGGAAAGGCATCATCGCGCTCAGAGGAAGGCCAGCATGTCTGTTGGCACACCCGAAGGCGTCCTGCTCGGCACCACATGGCGGGCCATGGTCTCGTGAATGCCGTTAGGATCATCCGGTACAAGTCCGGGCTCCTGGGCGGGGAATGGGTTAGTCGAAATCGCCTTTCTTGGGCAGACATGGTGAGCGAGTAGGTGCCTCCGGACCTGCTTGTCGGTGGTGCCTCCAAATCTCATCACAATGTCGTTGCCGCGGAAAAGAAATGGAGAGAGAAACGTCGGCGCAGTATCCTGATGACAAACGCGGCACAACTGGTCAATGGCAGAGGAAGGAGTGGGAAGAAGGAAGGAGAGGAAACTAATGGAGACGTGGTGTGAGTTGAGTATTTGCCGCGCAGTGTGGAAAGGGGAGAGGAATCAATTCCTTTCGCTCGCAATGTGAGGACTGAGATGTCCTATCTGCTCGGCTGCAGGGATCTGATGCTGAATGCACTGATTCATACTCTTGATTGCAGGGAGGGGCCAGAGATTACCCGCCCTCGCTTACATGTTTCTACATCTGTGGTTACTAGCGCCGAGCGCTGACCGATCTATGCACTGGTACGTACAGGAAACGATCTATCTATGAACGCGAAGGTGAGACGAGGGTCGTCTTGTTGAGGAAGACGACTAGGCAAACTTACGGGAACCCACTCTTTCCGGCGGAACTTTCATAAACGAACTGTTGGTTACGAGAGAGAGAGAGAGAGAGAGAGAGAGAGAGAGAGAGAGAGAGAGAGAGAGAGAGAGAGAGAGAGAGAGAGAGAGAGAGAGAGGAGTTGTGGTGTCCGGTGATAAGCGATCGCACAGCAGGTTGTCGTGAATGTGAGATGCTTATGGCTTGGGCGTCGTGAAGCGGTCGATTATTGCTGACAGAAGGCTGCAGCGAGGCGGAGGGACAAAACTCTGCGTCGGCTCAGAGTTTGGGGAGAT